GAAACTAATAAAATAATGACAAAAAGAAAAAGAAAAAGAAAAACTTTAACCAAAATCATAGATTTTTATTAAACCAATTGTGCTATTAGTAACTCTTTCAAAATTAATAATTTAATTTTAAAAAACATGTTAATTATTTTATAAATAATATGACAACTAGATTTTATATTAAAAAATAATATTTTTTAGTATTTATAAGTGGGAAAAAATTTCAACCAAAAAAAAAATGTACTGTAAGTTTATATGTACAACACTTTTAAAACATAAATTTTAAATTTTTTTCTATTATATAATACATGTCTCACAACAACAATTATGGCATGTCACTGACGAAGAAAGAAAAGTCAAAACCTTAATAATTTGTCGTTTTGAATTGTAATCGAAATGGGATCTACATTCTTGTCCCCTTGCAAAAGGAAAGCCGTCTTCCTTCAACCTTCCTTCACAGAAATATGAAATCTATTCCAATCACAAATTATTGAACCCTTAGTTAAGCTTGAAAATGCTCATGAACAAAATAATTGAATAAAAACAGATTACACTTTAGTCCAACAAATAATTATACGTGAAGGTGGATTCAAATCAATTAAGAGGCTAACTAAGTACTCTTTATTTTCAACTATATGCCAAACTAAAATTCGAAGAAAGTTATCTAGGAAAAAATATGAAAAAAATTGGTGTCCTGTTTGGTGAAAAGGACATTAAATAATACTTAAACCCAAAACGGGTTTTCGTAGAAGCTGCATGTGTATCAAAGTCTTAGGTTTCAAAGATGCGTATTGGTGTGCTAATGCCGAAAGGGAAGTCTTAATCGAAATAATAGTATCCAATTTTTTGGAGGATTTTCAACACATTTAGCCAAAATCTTAGTTTTGGTGACCTTGAAACAAGTTCAAAGGGGCATGCATCTAGACCATTCAATGCACCCATTCTAGCTGTGATTGAAAGCTTTCGTATGCAAAAAGGATGGTGACTACTCATGACACCACTCAAACATCCTCTCCAAGAAAATTCATTACTGGAGTTTAAGATAAAACCCAACATTTTCTTTCCGGTATTCATACTCACCAAGTTCACATCCATGTGCACCAATATACCATTTTTTTAAAACCTTTCACAGTTATGTTCCCACCAAAACTATAAACCTTTAACAATTTTTATTTCCTCACATTATTAAACCTCAAACCCTTTGCACAAGTTAACCAAGTTGTAATAAACTTCCTCATCAATTACTTAAATTTGTTACCATAAAGCTACTTTTTTAAGGGTGTGAATTAGTCAAACAAAAAATATTACAAATAAAATAGACTATAAAAGATTAAGAATAAATTTAATACTCTTTCCGTTACTTTATTTTACGTGTATACACTTTAAAGTTTTTTATAATATTTTTTATTTCAATAAAATAGTTATACATCTTTTATTATTATTTTTTCTTTCTACATATACATGAAAATTAATTAAAAAGAAAGTGATATATATATATACATATATATATAAAATTAATAATAAAAGAATAGTTAAAGTTACTTTAAAGTTTGAAGATTGAAATTATTCACTAAAAGAAAAGTGAGTGATTAATATTTACTGGAATTAAAAAAATAAATTAATTATTCTTTCTTTTTAACGTGTTTAATTACATTTCAAACACTCAAATTGTGAACAAAACTTTGAGATAAAGAGCATGTAGAATATTAGGTTTGAAAGTTGTGATGAGTATTGGTAGTTGTCTTCTTTTTGGACATTTTTTGCAACATAATAAGTGAACTATATTAGATATGTACATCTTGGTTTTATTTTTTATTGATGTAATGCCGATTTGTACACGTAAAATGGGTTTACATCACTTCATGTTTACATTGTCATCTACATATAAATTATTATATATAATCAATTTATTATTTTTAGAGTAATTAAATTAAAATTATTAATTTATATATATATATATATATATATATATATATATATATATATATATATATATAAAATCCATAAAATTAAAAATGAGAAGATTCTTAATATAAAACCCATTTTTAAAAGTCCTATATGATAAAGTTTAATTTAATAAAGAATAAAAAGATTGTTTAAAGATATTTTATATAAATAAAAATTTAAATAGTTTATTATTCGTTATTCTATAATTTTTACTATGACTGATAATACTCCTTCTAATATTCATAATACGGAATATATTTTTTTAAAATTTCTATTTAATATAAGACATTATAATTTTAATACATATTTTTATTTTCTTTATATGTATATTAATTAAACAGTTATTTATATTATTATTATTTGATTTCGTTATAATTATTAAGAATAAATATGAAAACTAAAAATAAAAAATGAATATAATTAGAATAATTATTTAATCCTCTAGTGTAGTTTTTCAAAAGTGAATTGAATAAATAAACTAATAAAATAGGAAACATTAATGGTTTATTTTTTCACTCACATATAAAATATATTTTTTTTCATTTTTCTGTTATCTTTTTATTTTATTTTTTCTTTTTATCTTCTATTTATTGTTTATATATATATATATATATAGAGAGAGAGAGAGAGAGAGATTAATAAAAAAATAGCAACTTACTTTAAGATAATATGTACTTTAATTTAAATTTTTTATTTGTTGTGAATAGTAATAATTATTTTTATTTTGTTTTATAATGATCATATAAGTGAATATATTTTTTTTGTCTTTTTATTATTATAATATTTTATTTAAATTTCTTTAATTTATTATTTTTAAATATACATAATTATGAGTAGGTGAAAAGAAATAATAACTAAAAAAATTACTAAAATAAAAAATAATCAACACACTTATTTTATGCTTAAAAAAAAAAAGTCGTGATAATTCTATCAATACATGATTATAATAGTCTTGTCACACATCACTATCAATAGAATACTCGTAAACATATACTGTATTTAACAAGTACGAGGGAGTAGATGTTGCACATGTCTCATGCCTGTTTGGTAGTAGTATTTTTCTTTTCTTTTACAAATCACAAATATTTTAAATAAATTACTTTAAAATTTCTATTATACAAGTAATAAAGTTTTTATTCAACCTTTTCATCAATTTATAATAATTTTTTCACTCATTCTAATAGTTTTCTGTGGGACCAATAACGTACCTTATACTTTTCACTCATTTACATCATTTTCATATATATATATATATATATATATATATATATATATATATATATATATATATATATATATATATATATATATACTTTTCCATATGTCATAAGTTTTCTGTCGCTTTTAGTTTTTACATAAATATGCGATTTTTTTTTACTTATATGTACATATAATTATTTATATATATTTTTTTTGTTTTAAATAAATAGTATGGACGTGAAATGTAAAACATTAACTTCTCAATATGTTTATTTAATTAATTATAATTTGTCTGTATATGGCTGTATTTATATTTAAACACATGAAAATAAATAAATAAATAAATAAGAGAAATTGGCGTCATAAGATGAGGTCAGCCACGACCCCGGGAATGCATTTCTGACCTGGCCGCCATCTACATCCACCTAATTGACCCACGTGTGCTTATCAATCCCCCTCTGCGGGCCCCACTTTTCACGCTATATGATCCCACTACGTCATAGTTTTTATTTTTATCCCTACAGACAAAGCTACTCCGAAAAAAGTTGATGTCGGGCCGATAAATATCAATAAAATTATTTTTATTTGATATTAAATATTTTTTTATCATCAAACAAATTTATGTGAAGCTTATTAAACCATCAGTTTTTATGTAACAAAATATATGAACTTTTAGTAATAATAAAGTATATGAATAAATACAAAAATATAGTCTTAACATCTTTAGTTTCATGCTATTTGTTATTTAAATACGCAGAAAAGATTATCGTTTGCATTAAAAATTTAGTCATACTAAAGTTAAAATTATTTTACATTTCAAAGTATTTCTATGGTACTATAAATTTTATGACATGTAAATACCACTTTTGTCAATGAATTAAATGATAGTCTTAAATAGATTAAAAACTCTAAACGGGTAGCCTTTATTATTTGTTAGTACGTCATTTGTAATATAAATGAGGAAGTCATCATATTGGAGATTGACCAGGTGTCCTGCTCCTGTGATGAGGTTGATCCAATCCGATTTTTTTTTTATAAGAAAACAATATTATATGAACATCTTTTTTATTTGGAATAAAACTTAGTTCAACTATACTATTTAATTCTACATTGTTTGAAAATAAATTATAGCTCCCTATAACATATATACGTGCAAAAGAATTTTCTTTAGAATTTATATTAAACAATTGAATTCAAAATATCAAATAGCTCACAAACCAAAAAACAAAAATAAAATTTAAGCTATCAAATTAAAACTATAAAACAAAATTAGCTGTCGAAAAAAGTAGAGTTGTATAACCTATATCTTTAGATCCTACTTCAAATAACATATTAAGATAAAATTAATTTTTAAATGTGTTTTTAATTTCATCAAACAAATTTTCTGTGATTTAATTTAATAGGTATATCTAAGAGTTCAATAGACGCGTGTAAAAGATGGTAGAGATTGATCATTAAAATGTCAAGACAAATAATCAATCAGTGATTAATACAATTGTAAAACGAATATTAGAATTTAAGATTATTAATTAAGTTAAAACAAATTTATTGGTAGATGTGGTTGTTCATTTTTAATATTTCAGTGTTATTTAATAGTAATATGATAGGAAAAGACAAGGAAATGTTATTTAATGTACAATGAGAAAAACAAAATTGTATTGCGTTATGGCATGTTTTCCGTTTTCCCCTTTTCAACCAGCGTTTAATCATCCAATTCGCTTTAGCGGCGTCTCTTACCGTTTTACAGTGGCGAAAACCGGGTATAAAAGGAGGTGAGAGGAGCAAAAGTGACGAGAAAAACAGAGCAACTCAACACCTTACTTCTCTTATTCACTTATCACTCTGTCTATTTTCAAAACATGGATATGGATTCATCTTCCTTCTTCAACTCACCCTCTTCTGATTTCTCCTCCGAATCGTCCTCTCCGGAGGCCTTCTCCTGGGAAGGCTACCTACCCTTCAACGAGAATGACCCGGAGGAGATGCTTCTCTACGGCATGATCGCCGGCGCCACCACAGCCGAGCGCGCCGCCGACCGGGAGGGCTCCCAGGAGAGTGCAGCGGGGAGGAAGGAGAAGTCGTATCGTGGCGTGCGGCGGCGGCCGTGGGGAAAGTTCGCGGCGGAGATAAGGGACTCCACGCGGCACGGGACGAGGGTGTGGCTTGGGACATTCGACAGCGCGGAAGCCGCCGCTATGGCTTACGACCAAGCCGCGTTTTCCATGCGCGGGTCCGCCGCGATTCTGAATTTCCCCGTTGAGATCGTTAGAGAATCGCTTAGGGAGATGAACCACACATTCGACAGCAAAGAAGAAGGTTGTTCCCCTGTTGTCGCTCTCAAGAGGAAACACTCCTTGAGGAGGAAAATTAGCGTCAAGAAAAACAACAAACAGAGTACCGTAGACAATGCGGTCGTGTTTGAAGACCTTGGTCCTGATTACTTGGAACAGTTGTTGATGTCCTCTGATCATATTCCTTCCTCCTTCTGATTCATTCATTCCTCAATTGCAATTCACACTTCAAAAACCTTCACGGTGCTGCTCAACCACGGATCGCGCACCGTTTTTTAAAACCTTATAAATATCCCATGATGCATAATTTCTACATAGGCTTTTTATGCCAGTGATAATTCCTTCTTCTTCTTCTTTGTTCAATTGTAATTGTATGGCTAAAATGCCTTTGTCATGTTTAGATGACAGATTTGAACATCTTTTGAGTCTGTATCTTTTTCTCTCTTCATTTTTTTTTTCCTGGACTTGGGAGATTTTTCTCCTTTTTTGTAAAGTTTAGAAGATAAGGAATGCAGTAATCTATGTGGGGCACAATTTATGTCAAATTGTCGATATTAATTGAGGTGACTGGGACTGTTGTTTTAGCTTTATCAGACTATAAGTCAACATGCATGGTCGAGTTTAGCGCGGGGAAGGCGGCACGTGTGGACGCACCGCACACACAGACAAATTACAATCAGTTTCTTAACCATTTTGCCAACCTCTTCCCTTTTGTCTTCCACTGCGCATGTGTGTGAAAATTTCCCAAATTTTGCCAAACAGATTGTCACACGTTCACAACAATTTTATGAACGAGCAAGAAAGAAGTGGTTTATTACGGTGAAAATGTAATTTTAAGAAGATAGCATGTTATAATAAAAAGTTTTAAGAATTCGTTTTTATGCATGATTGATGAGGCTGGATCTGGTCCCATCATTAGGGTGAGGAATGGGATTATTAACGTGGTGCATGACATGGGGCAAGCTTCCTTTTTGTAAATGAGAAAATGATGCATTGGTTTTCAAACCTTCCTCTCTGGCTGTGTTCAAAACAAGTGGCAGGGCTACTTTGAAACCAGGTTAGGCTAATTTGGTCCTGTGACCACAACCACATCTACTAAAGATAGACTTTGACAACACTTTGGCCAGTCGAAGATGAAATACCAAATTTTACTTGTTCCAGATGGAATTAAAAATAACAAGATATAACAAGGTTGCACTTACATGCAATATTTTATGGAGAAAATATGGTAAAGGAAAACGCAAGGAAATAGCCAATGTGAGTTGGTGGGGGTTTCTAGAAATTTGTCAAATCTGTTGGAGAGTAGAGAACCGCAAAACAGTTTTCTCTTCAACTGTTTGAGTCCAACTTTGAAGCAAAAGAAGCTTCTTCCAATTGTGGTCTAATAAAACTGGTTGGACACTTAGACCAACATCTACAATCTTATGACTCATCTTATCTCCATATTATTATAATCACGTGGCCTTACTTTATTTATTTATTTATTATTATTATTATTATTTTATTTTTTTACGTTTCTTCTAAATTTGTCTTCCTATCATAAACTAATATTTTACATGCTAAATTAGTCACCCTTATTTCCCGAATTCAAAGGAAACTGTTTTCAAAACATATATTAACGTCCCACAACAAAAGGTGATTCTTTTTACTTGGAGGAGTATTTTTTAAGTACATGTACATAAATGAATAGAAAATAAACAAAAGTTTAAAAATATGCATACTTGTGAAAAAATAAAAACTAGTGTTGGAATGATCAATTACACTTTGTTTAACTATTTTATTATTTACAATAATAAATATTTAATTTAATTTAATAATTTGTTAACTTTCATGTATTATTAGCAATATACTAAATAGGTAAGGTGTATAAAAATAACTTTTTGATAATAAAATCTAATGTCATGTATTACTTTTAAATTTTTTGCTACGTAATTTAGTGACGGATCTTCTTGTGAGTTGAGAGGGTCTTGTCTTTGTAACTTCCGTATAATTTATGATTTTAGTCCTCCAAACTTAATGATTATTTAATATATTTATTTGTATATTTACAATTTTATCTTTTCATCACTCCTAATTCTCATATAATTTATGATTTTATCCTCTCAAACTTAATGATCAATTAATAAATTTATTTATATATTTATAATTTTATCTTCTTATCCTTTCATCTTCTTTCACCCTTTTATATTTATTTATTATTTATTAATAATATAATATATTATTTAGCCTCCAAAATCAATAGTCAAGATCCGCTACTGCATGTGAACACCCTTTCCACTTTTATGATGATAATGTGAAAGTTAAAAAAATATAAATATAATGATAAAATACAAAAAAAAATGAACATTATTAAATGGTAAAAATATATATAATTAATTCTAAATAGGTTTAATTATATATTTTGATTATAAACTTTATATATTATATTTTGATCATAAATTTGAAAATGTTAATACAGAAAAGTAGTTATAGTGATAAATAATAATGTAAGTTTAGTTACTATTAATTAAAGGATTTAGTATGTTTTTATTCCATAATTCTTTGCTTAAAAATTACTTTTTATCAAAACAAACATTTTATTATTACCTTTTAATATCTCTCATCAATTATTTTTATGACATGATAATTAGGTATCTTTTCATGTGGACTACTAGTTGATGGCATAAACATGTGATGAAATATTGTTGATTGGAATATATTTTGCTAATCTATCAAAATTTAATGTGGCCAATTCTATCTACGGACTAAAAAAAGTGATGAGATATTAAGTCTTAATGAAATGATAGCACTTTTATTTATCTTGTCTCGTAATTGACATGAGTAGGATTGTGTTTATACGAGAAAGCCAATCCAGCGGAATAATTTCTGCTCTGATTCAAAGCGAACCACATCAATTCACAACTTTCAGAGCTGACATAATTATAATATTGTCTTTTATTTTGGTAGCTCTCATCTCAAATGGGATTTTCTTTTTTTCTTTTTTCTCTTTTGGCTCAGAGGAAACTTCCTGGTTTGTGATTAATCTGAATCCATGTATTATTTGTGGTCTTATCCTTGTAAAATTATTATGACAGTGTCAATGGTTAACAAAAAAACAGCCATCAGTTATGACAAATGTTCTGAGATTCAAATCACCAACCTGTCTTCAAAATCATGTCTCTACCTCTATTTTTCTAATAAAAAAAATTATATAAATTTTTGTAATTGAAAAAAGAAAATAAAAATGGACTATAAAGACATGTGATTTCTATTCTATTCTCTGTACCCACCCCGAGGCTCAAGTAATAGCACCAACATGCTTAAACATGAAAGAACACTGAGAGACTGGGTGGTCCCATCATCAGATTTCTTCACTGTTAACTATACTTGGATTATTTTTCAAAAGCACGACCGAAAGCAATTACCATCCCTTCAAAGATTTTCAAATGATCTCAAATTAAGCACCTGTTGCCATAAATGAATAAGTAAATTCCACTTAATGTTTTTTTAACAATATTTTATGGACTTTATAGCATTCAACCACTCATTTCTATATCTAATTTAACAATTCAGATTACCTTTATAAATAATTCTTTTTTCCTTTTCTTCTTATGGTTTTCCTTTTCTGCTAAACAACTTGGCAAATAATATTACACCACTGTTATTAGACAGAGGAGACAAAATGGCATACATATGTTGTATCAACTTGTTTTAGCTTATCATTTAGATTTTTATTTTTTATTTTTTTAACTCTATTCTAACATTGATAAAATTACAATTCGTTAATCATTCTAAACTCATCATATTTGATCAACTAAATATTTAACTATGAAACAAAGAACTGGATCTATATTAAACTATGATTTATTAAATTTTTGAACTGTTTCTTTCAATGCATTTCAATAACAAAATTATTCACTTTTAAAGGATTTAAACATCATCTCACTATTAAATGAGTTGCGTTGAAAATTTTTATACGCCTATCACTTATCAGATATTCAGACTCTCTATATATATTTATGTTTGAATTATTGATAACATCAGTTAAATAAAATACGATTTTTGTTTACAATAATATGATATTATTTAATAAAAGATAAATATACAAACAATTTGAATATAACTCTTAATAATTTAGAAGTTCCCTGTGATATGATTAACTAATTCATATAATGAAAAAACTAATATGATATAATCTCACGTATCAATGGAAGATTCACTTCAATTCACACTCCTTCCGACTTTTATTATTATTGTTATTTTATTTACTTATTAACTTGACTTTACAAATGTATTTTTCATTTGGTATTATTCACACTCTTTAATTGGTTGCGCTAACAGAAGAAGAAAGAGTAACATATAATTGTGACGTGATGATGAGGAGAATAAGACCTGAAATGGGTCAAGTTCCAGAAATGTAGATAATAAGTTCAAATAAAAAGGGAATGTGTTTGGGATTGCTTTTGGTAATTCTTTAGTGGGAAATCAATTATTTTACTTTCATATGGTGTGGGGTTCCACTCCTATGGTTAATTGAACTTGCCCACCAATTTAAAAGAGAATCCCAAATACCCTTTTTATTCTCATTATACAACTGTTGAACCACTAATCAAACTTTTAATAAGTGAAAAACTTGCATTAGGTGAAGTTTTAGGATCTATCACACAGTAATCAAATAATTTAAATTAAATGCACCGAAAGAGGACATAATTTTTACGTTTAAATTAAAACCATTGCCCATCCACAAAGTTAAAACCCGACTTCACACTACACTGAAAAAAAAGAAGCTCAAATACATTTATTTTATCTTATATTTTATTTTGGAGTTTAAGTTTGGTACATCAACTTTAACAAGTTTCGTTTAGGTTTCCATCCCTATATCAAAATGATAATTTGTGAGTTTTTTACGCTAACCATATTAAACTTGCTTAACCTGGTTTGACATGACAAACACCGATCTAATAATCTACATCTTTCACAATTTATTATGTGCTTTCAAGTTGATGAATTTAATGTGGTAAAAACAATTTAATCAATTAAACCGGACAAAACTAAAATAAAAAAGAAACGAGGTACCAAAAATGTTTTTTTGACTTCAAATACACATGCTATGGGTCTTCAAAATATAATGATTTTATTGGATTTGGATTTTGAACAATCTGCCCTACCCACTTTAACCCATTGTGCCGTTTTTTTCTTTTCTCTAACATAAGGTAGAAAAGCCCAACTGAACCATAGTTTTCATTAGGGGCATTTTCTTTCTTCACCTCCTTATTTTTTTTTGTATTTATTTAAAATGATAATATTATTCTAATGTAAATAGGTTTCGAATTTATTTTTTAGGAATTTTTTTAAAAGCTGATTCTAGAATGCTTCTAAAGATCAATATGAAACATTTCAAAAAGTTTATGAAAAATTAATTGTGGAAATTTTTTTAGAAAGCTCATTCTAAAGTGTTTTTAGAAAACTTATTTAAAAAAATTTCAAGAAAACTCTTTATGAAAATTTTTGATAATATTTTGAAGTGGCGTTTTTTAAATCTTTTCTTTGAAAAAACTGATTTCGGAATATTTTTAAAAAACTTATAAAAAGTCAACATAAAATACTTTTAAAAAACTTCTAAAATTATCAATTCTAAATATTTTCAGAAAACTTATTTGAAAAAGTAAAAAATAAAATAATTTTCTGAAATAAAAATATATAGCATATTTCTCTGGTCTTCTTTAACGTTTTCCTTATTCCCTCCACGCCTTGATAGGGTATGTGTTCAATCACCTCTAGAAGACTTCAAACCTCTCAACATGAGTTGGAACCGGTAAGTAAATTTGGTTCATCTAGGTTTCAGTTGGGTTAGATTTAATTTTTTTTATTAATAATAAGTTAAAAATAAATTTGACTCACTTAATTTATAAATTATATGAATTTAAACCAAATTAAATAGGTTAACCACACTCTATTATTTATTTTAAATTTAAAAAAAAATTATAATAATTTTATAATCTTAAATAATATTATCATGTCTTTCTATTTCTATTTCAGATTATTTTTACAAGTCAAATTTTTACTTAAATTTATTATTAATTATCCATTACATTAATGCGTTTGTACCTGCTTTCCATTCATTCGTCCACCATTATATTTGTTGTATTACAGTGTTTATTACTTTTTAATATAATATTTCAGTTACATCATAATATTTTATGTATTACTGCACCATAATATTTTAGTTACCTCACAATATTTATTATAACATGCATTCATAGCATCATTACATTCATAGGCACTATCATGTTTAATTATATTTTATTTGTACCATAACATATCCATTATCCAATATCTAATTATCATGTTTCAGTCTTATCATTTAGTTGTATTTATTAAAAAAATTAAAAAAACAAAAATAAATAATTATAAGTTGATTAATCAACCCATCAAACTTATAACCTATAATAAATTAAGTTGAATTATAAAATTTTTGATTTATAAAAGAATAAACCATGTAGTCAACCTTCTGAGCCGGGTTGACACCCCTTAATCACAAGGCATCTACACTGTTGTCATATCCAGAGCGGCCCTCGCTCGTGGCACATTTTAGCTATGACACGGGTTTGAAATTTTGATTGAGGAAGAGGAAGAGGAAGAGGTGGTGGTGTCTGTCATGCGTACTCGTCGTCAGGAACTTGGCAGTGACGATAATATCCCCTAAAATAGGGAAGAAGAAAGAATGTGTATAACACTAAAAGGTGACAGAGAATAAGAAGAATAATTAACATAATCATAATAAATTTAAAACTAAAAAAATGAAAAGAAGAAACGGGAAGAATAAAAAATATATGTTAATATTAAAAATTATTCATGTTTGTAAGATACTTGGATCTGCTTTTCTGTATAAATAGATATAAAAATGAAAATTGATGAAAACACGAAAGATAATTTAATAAAAAAGTTGTTTTTTAATATTGTAATGAAACACAAAACAATTTTTACATTCATAAAAAAATAGACAACTTTTTTAAAGAAAAAACACTTAGTATGCTTAAACTAACTCATCCGTGATACATGACTAAGGAGCAAATGTGATTGTATATGAGGAACAAGAACACACCTACTTCCACCTGTGCCTTGTAATTAATATCAGTAGTACCTTTGTCGGTAGAATCATGAAAAGTTATCACAGAAATTCATATAATACATCAAATACAAATAAAATATAAAAGTGTGGAAGAAAGGTTAGCAGGAAGTGTGAAAAAAGGGGCCACGGAAACAAATTAATTAAGGCAGCCACATAGTTTGTGGTTTTCACGAGTCGCTAGTTTTTGTGGACAGTCATATTTAAACACCCAAAACTCTCATACTTATGTTCTACAACTTCTATATAAATGATTAATAATAAGAAATAAAAATTAAATTTTAATTAATATATTGGGTTATTAAATTATATATATATATATATATATATATATATATATATATATATATATATATATATATTTACTTTTTCCATCTTCGTAAATGTGATTCTTGAGTTCTAACGTTAACGCACCTCCGGCACTCTTCATTTGCATGAGTTCGTTAATAATAAATACGCAAAATATTTGTTACCGGTGTAACACCATCATCCAAACAACAACTATTTCTCTTAATATAACAATAATATTTATTATTTTATTACTTTTTTTCAGTTATATATTAGACCTAACACTAGTGATATAATCACTCTTCTAATAAATATTAGCTATTAAAAAATTTATAAATCTTTTGTATTAACTATACAGTAAAAAATGGTATATAAACAAGAGTATTTATTATTAATAAAAACATAGAGAATCAATTTAATTTAAATTATCTTTTTTTCTCTAACTATTTATTTATTTTAAATCTAAGAATTATTAATAAATAATTTTGTCATAACAATATAAATTGAAAGAAAATGAAAAGTTAGAGGATAAAAGTAAAGAGTGTATCTTCACATGATGAGTTCTTCAACATACATACTAAACAACATCACACATTGCATTTGACCGCCGTGAATATGAAGTTACATATGTTTAATTTTTTTTTTTCAGGTAAAGACAGAAGATTTAAGCACAGTAATAAAAGACATATTACAATATCTTTGCTGAAACGGAAATTGATGTTATTTTGCAGAGGCATAGAGACTTTATTTTTAAGAAGTATTGCATGCAGAAGGAGCAGATTGAACTTCTAGTCTTAAAAGTGCTTCCTAAAAGAAAACAAAACTTTACATGACAAACGACCGCTCTAACTTTGAGTAACCAAAATATGTCACAGCCGTCACTTGGTATTAGTTTCTGTTGGATGGTGGAAAGTGACCATAAGGTGGTGGACTGCAACCCGGTGGTTTCTCATAAGGAGGTTTGTACACCGGTGGTGGTTTCTCATAAGGGGGTGGAAACAGTGGTGGAGGCTTCTCATATGGAGGTTGAAACACTGGTGGTGGCTTCACATACGGGGGTTGGTACACTGGTGGTGGTTTCTCATAAGGAGGTTCATACACTGGTGGTGGCTTCTCATGAGGAGGTTGGTACAATGGTGGTGGTTTCTCATGGGGGGGGTACACTGGTGGTGGCTTCTCATGAGGAGGTTGGTACACTGGTGGTGGCTTCTCATGAGGAGGTTGGTAAACTGGTGGTGGCTTCTCATGAGGAGGTTGGTACACTGGTGGTGGTTTCTCATGAGGAGGTTGGTACACTGGTGGTGGCTTCTCATGAGGAGGTTGGTACACTGGTGGTGGTTTCTCATGAGGAGGTTGGTACACTGGTGGTGGCTTCTCATAAGGAGGTTGGTACACTGGTGGTGGCTCCTCATGAGGAGGTTGATACACTGGTGGTGGCTTCTCATGAGGAGGTTGATACACTGGTGGTGGCTTCTCGATAGGAGGTTGATATTCAGGTGGTGGCTTCTCATGTGGTGGTTTCTCGTGTGGTGGCTTCTCATGAGGAGGTTGGTACACTGGTGGTGGCTTCTCATGTGGTGGTTTCTCATGAGGTGGTTGGTACTCTGGTGGAGGTTTCTCATGAGGTGGTTTGTACTCGGGTGGTGGCTTCTCATGAGGTGGTTGGTACTCTGGAGGCGGCTTCTCATGCGGTGGTTGGTACTCTGGAGGTGGTTTTTCAAAAGGAGGTTGATACTCTGGTGGTGGTTTCTCATGAGGTGGTTCGTACACTGGTGGTGGCTTCTCATATGGAGGCTGGTACTCTGGTGGAGGGTAGAATGGGGGGTTATATAATGGTGGTGGTTTTTCAGTTGGTGGAGGCTCATAGGTGGGTGGAGGTTCAAATATGGGCGGTATCTCAATTGGGGGAGGCTCATAAATGGGTATCGTGAAACTAGCCACCATTGGAGTGGTGAGAACCACCACCCCAAGCAGGAGCAACACGAGTGCGTGTAAAGAAGTCATGTGGATCAGCTTTTGGTGAAGAAAAGTGGTAACAAGGAAAAATTATTTATAGGGAGAGACGTGGGAAAATTTTCTGTCAATATCACCAATCTTGTGTTATTTTATTAGTATTAACGAAACATGTATAAATTTTCTAATATTAAAACTAAAGTAAAAGTGTGGCAGGTATAATTTGTGATTTTGATATTGAGTACCCTGGAATGAATTTTCCACCATGAAGGTTTAATTGACACTCGTACGCAGTAGGATTGATTATTGTACAAAACTCACCTGAGTTTTGTGTGCATATATTAAAAAAGTAAATAGCTTGTCTAAAATGATAGTCTAAATCAAAGTTGAATTTGCAGCACATACATAAATGAAAATCAAAGAAGTTGTTTCAATGAAGTGGAAGTGTTTTTCTCTTTTTCCTTTATTTACGTGGCCGATTGAATAGGAGAACGAAAATAGAATGACGGTGATGAATTAATGTGGGGAAAAACACCACATGATTTTTTTTTTCCTCAATTTAATTTAAATGGATCACTTTTTAAAGACTTTCTAAGTGGGGTAAGTGATATTTTCAAAAAGTCGTATTTTGTAATATAATTTCGGTCTAAATAAGAAGTCATGTAATATGACATTAATGTAATTTTTATTCAAAAGTTATCTTTGCATTTGTCGTAAAATTTACGAAAATATTTTGCTTATCTTTCTTAAACTATAAACATAGATTTTTTTTTATTGTTTATTAATAATAATAATAATAATAATATTATTATTATTATTATTATTATTATTATTATTATTATTATTATTATGTTGTGAAACAAATTGTAAGGTGAAAATTGAAGAAAACATGGAGGGAGCTTCACATCTTTGAAGAAGGCGTAAAAGCTATCACGAGAAACTAATGAAATCATGACCTCCGCATCCAGTCCAATCAGGGATCCAGCCCCATTTAGTATTAGCGTGGCTGTTTATCAATCAATCCAATTTTATATAAAATAAATGGAAATGTTGAGTAAAAAAAATATTGAATATATATATATATATATATATATATATATATATATTCTTTTTTCTTTAGTTATATATTTGCTAATTTTTTCGGATGAAATTAATCAAACATCCTCCATTAATCACACATTTTCTTTTATTTTTCACGTTTTTTTCCTTTTAATAATACATAGTAGAAATAAATATCTTTTAATTATATCACATTTTTTCTTAAATAAAATTAATAAATAAAAAAGTGTCATTTATTTTCCTTTAAACATTTCCATTTTTAATTTTTTATTCTATTCTTAAATATTTTTTTATTAAAAAATACGAACTCAAAGTATATATATATTATAAAATTATTAAAATATAAGGACATGATGGACAAGTGCGGGCACATAGGCTTGCTTGACCCAAGAAGTCTTGTGCCGAATCGCATCCCGTTTTAAGCAAAAGAATTTCTTCGCAATTCATGCTTTTCTGTTTTTATTATCATCAGGATTTATTTTCTTTATTTCTATTTCAAATTGTTTAACAATTAAATTTAATCAATTATTAAATTATCATATATGCTTTTTATTTATTTTACATTAAAGCATAATACTCGGTAGAAAAAGAGTTTCTTTCAGCCACGTGAAGTACGCTTTCCACCGCCACATGTTCGAACTACAGGTACCTACCTACGAATTTGTCCTTTGTACCAGTAAAATGTTTTTATTTAAATATTATGGTCATAGTTAGTAAAGGCATTTTTACTCTTGAATAAATAAAAATGCTAAATTTCTAGTTATATCTATTACTTATATGATTTATTTATAAGTAGATTTAACTATTTTATCTATTGCTCAGCTATAAAAAAGGAATCAAATTTTTATTTAATTTTATGGATGACTAATGATTCATTCTTTCTGAAAAGTCAACAGATTTTTCTATTAATACTTAACCAATCAAAATTAATTCCACTGATTTTTCGTACTTTTTTTTATAACTTTATCTTTTAAAAAAATTCCATTTTTTTTCAAAACTATTCATAGTTTGTTTTATTTTTAAATATCATTTTAAAGTTCATTCTAATTTTTGTAAATACTACTTTTATAGATGGATCGGATATTTGTCCATAAAAAAATGTTAATAAATAAATTGAATCTAATTTTTATATCAAACAGATTGAGTTAAATCACAATCTTAATTAAACTTTATATCAAATCTATTTTACTCTCAAAACTAAATTTTATCTAGTGTGTCCGCTTTATATGTAACTAAATTATATTTTTTATTAGTATAAGTTAACATATATTGAGAAATTTACATCAACTTCTGTGCATGAACCATCCAAAATATAATTCTTTATATAAATAATATTCGTGTAGAGTGTCTGTGGTAAGAAAACAATTTAAGCAGTATAAAAAATTGAAATGACATTTATAATTTAATGTGTGGCAAGCTCTTGCTGCGTTGGCTAAAATTGGATTTGATAAGGATTGAAGGTTCATAATTGCTGCCAAATTTGAGCACAGTATTTCCATCACATAAAAGTTGATGGATATAGATCAGTTCTTACGAAAATGATTTTACTGATAGATTATGTTATATATTCCCTTTGATAGTCTTTTCATTTCAAAAGGAATTAACATTTTTTTTTTTATTTCGAGTTGAAAGTTAATTTCAAAATTCATTCATTTTTTATTTCATACTTAACTTCGTACTCATCAAAACTTTAGCATATAGCCATATTTATATGCATGTATGTTTTGTCGGAGAAAGTGACATGTTAACTAATCTTTGAAATTAATTGTAGCATGTATAGGTATAGGTCTTGCTTCGCTGCGAAAGGTCAATAAACTATTCATCTTTTCAATTACTTCTTAGTTATCACTGGAATATATAACAACACGTAGTTTTAACCATGAATAAGATATTATTAAAGCCAATCACGCAGAAAGAGTACGATACAAACTTAATTTATTTCATAAATGAAAAGAAAAAATAAAGTTAATTATAGAGGAACAGCTGTCCCCATTGTTGATTTCGTGTTTAGGTTTGGTGAAGATGATTAAGACCCTTAGAGGTAATTATAGTTCTTATCATCATGTGATTGTCTTCAACCAAATCAATCAAGTAGGCAAGTCCTTATTGTAAAGTAACATAAAAATATGTCCCTTCTAACAGTAGATTTCACTTAATTGGTGCAAATAAATATTTTACGGCTAGCAAAAGCAAATTAATTGGATCCAAGTTGCTTAGTATGGAGGCCTGTCAATCAACCCCTAATGGGCCAACTCTGATCCATTTAAAATAAGAATCCACCACTTAAACCGAGCAAAATAAAATGGCCCAACAAGTGCTATCACCATGGCCTCGCAAACCTTAGCCATGCCACTAAAATAAATATTATAAAATAATAGTTTATACACATTTTTCTCTTAATTTATCCTGTCGAATTGTTTTTTAAGAATTAAATAATGGTGGATTAAAATTCTAAAACAAATCATAAAAATAGACTCTAACACTGCTATACGGACATGGAACCGAGACTCAGTATAATACATATCTTTCACGCTGGTAATTTTCTGACGAGAAACTTCCGATGAATAGGTTGGAATAGATTGTCTAAGTTTCTAATTTCTTACTCTTGTGATCTTAATTTGGAAAATATGCATTGTTCGTAGTTTTCTTCTGTCAATTCTTATTAAGAGGAGACACATAATTGACATTAATTGCTGTTGGTAAGAAGCATTATAGTCTGAACAAAAACATGAGATACCAGAACAGTAAATTAATCTAAAACTTATCATATTTTGCACAGATTAGTTGAATATGGGAAGCGGTAACAGATAGTGAACGTGCTTCATTTAAGACCCAGAGAATGATTTGTAGGCAGTTTTTAATCTTTTAGGTAGAATGTTTTGTTGGAATCCAACTTAGGTGAAACCCCGAATTGGAAATAAATAGAAAATTTGAATAAGAGAGTCCCAAATTTAATATCTTACAGATCTTAGATAAAAGACACATGAGCTCATTATCTTTATATATCCAACATGTTTATAATTAAGTGAAAAATTGTCATTATTAAAAAGAGCTTTAAAATTTTGAAATATTTCTATGAATATTTATTTTTAAAAGTCATTAAAATGCGTGGCATACAGCCTCGGAAAAACTGACATTCCTGAAGAGAAAAATGCATATTCTTTTTACTACACAAAGAAGAAGAGCAGATGAATGTGTTTGCCTTAATTTTTATAAATTATTGGTATAGGTTTATACACGGTCAACAAATTATTTTTTAAAAAATAATCATCATAACATGATATACAGTTTATGATTAGATAATATAAAAAATCTTAACACATGACCCATGGATTTTAATTAAATTAATTGCAAATAGTATTTAGGGTGATGAAGTACATTAGATAATCGAGTATACCTATAACTTTTTTAAATTTATTAATGATTGGATGTTAAGTTAATATTTTTTTATAATTTACCATGGCTTAATTTTTCTTTTAATGTTAATACATCCAGTTAAATTTTAATTTAAGATTATCTATTAATGGTTACGTAAAGTCAGATTATTGGTATGTCAAGACTGATCCTTGGATTATAGCCAGAGGAGGTTGATTGAGGGACTTTGTTTTTATCAAACTCATATTGATTATCGTGGACACCTCGTATGTTATTTCATTCGAGTTTTATTTCAATGACAAATTAACATGATGTTTCTTACACAGGAGATTGAAAATTAATAGTTTTTCAGGTTTATGAATAGATAATCAAAACTAATATAGAAAAACTAATAACACCTTATACTTTAACTTAAAATAATATATTTTTTTAATAGAACACGTTGGAATCAACTCACAATAAAATCTTAAATCACCCCTTTCCTATATTTCCCAGGTAAATTGTATAATAGTGTGAGTTGATCTATATAGTCGTCATTACCCAAAATGTCATAGTTTACTAGAAGTACTTTTTGCCAACTATTATTAAACAATTGTCAATTTGATTTTAATTTTAGAAAAAAAAAAAAAAACTCGTTATCATGTTTAGCACTTGACTTAATATTCCTGCAAGTTTACTTTATGCCATAATTCTTTCAGGATCGCATTTTAACCTAATTTTACCGTACTAAAAAAATTCGTTTCTAACGACAGTCACACTACAAACTCAAAATAGTCAGAATTTTCAAGATTCCAGAAACCAGACCCGCGGTCCATCCCAGCCGATGATTCCTGGCAGCTAAGATGTTCTTATTTGATAAAGTAATCTTTTATTTGGATTGTAAAATTTAAACTTCGCTAATCAAACATAGAAAATAATAAAATTATTTATATTGGTATATTTAATTTTATCATTTGATTATAGTTAAGTTTTAAGATGACTTTGTTTATATAGATTACACATTATATCTTAAGAGAGATAATTATTTTTCTGAGAACTACATATCTAAAACAGATTAATAAGAATAAGTTGACGTAATAGTTGGGTGTGTGTTTTAATAAGACATAAGTAGTACCTAATTGAATCGACTGGTTAGGACACGATGAATGATGCCCTGAGACGTGGCTTGATACTTATTTTACGTGTTGAAAATATGAGCAATGGATTAGTGTGTGTCTGATGATTAAGCAATTGGCCTATTTAGTTTGGCACAAAACAGAACAAGTGATGTGAAGACTCGAACAAGCACAGCCAATTGGCAAATCTACGATCCAGATTCAAACCGCATCATCTTACCATGTATTTTTATGTCTATCACTCACTTCATATCGTAGGTTACCTTGTATTCCTGGGACCTCAAACCACTCACCTCGCCTCCACTTTATTCTTCTCTCTTCACTCTTATACGCGTTCGAATATGTTCTTCACTTTCCACTTTTCAACGCCTCCACTCCTTTCTTAATCTCTTCTACTCACAAAATCCGAAATAAATAGCCAAAGGGTCTTCTCTTCTCATTTGAATTTGACTTAAAGCTGAGATGATCCTTGTCAATATATAGACAACCAATCTGCTGTTATCACCTTACCTACTACCTCTTTTTCCTTTCCTTTCACTTTGTTCTTTTGTTTCTTATATTGACTTTTGAATGGAACGTGCGGTTCTTGATGGTATCATCAATAGGCTGCTCGATGTCAGAGGCAGACCCGGTAAGCAGGTGCAACTTTCTGAGGCTGAGATCAAGCAGCTTTGTCTTGTCTCCAGGGATATCTTCTTGAAACAGCCCAACCTCTTGGAACTCGAGGCACCACTTAAGATCTGTGGTACTTTTTTTTGTTTCCCCCCTCAACCACATGCTTCTATTTCTTGCTGAATTTAATTGTTGCATGATCATGTGACTTTTGTCGCTACTTTTACTCGGTGACTTTTTTTTGTGTTGTTATTTAAGTATGAGTTTGGGATAAGGCTTTGTTATTGTTGTTGTTGATAAGGTCGTGTCTGTCTTACTTTTCCTAGTCCCAGAATTCTTGTTTATTCATATCTGCATATTAATAAGACATACGAGTTTTTATTAAATTCTTCAAATTGCTTCATTTTTATCATATGAAGTAAACGAGACCCTTCCCCTTAAAAGAGGCATGTTCAATTGTCTTTTCTTATTCTGTTAAAATGATTGTTTTATAGAAGTTTGGTAAATTTTGATGTGTTTTAGATAGATTATTGATAGGGTTAGAGGTACTAACATAGTTGGGATTTCTTCCTCTATTGTTATGCCTCTGCACATCTTTTTTTGTTTTAAAAATAGAAGTATGATAAATTTAACTTGAGGTTTTCTCAAAACCAGCTTTATCCGGATTTCTGATACCCCGAATAATAATCTTTCTAGAAACTTAACTATCTTCGGAGGGACTTTAACGTGGATGGATTTGTTCTGTATCGGAACTAAACTATCTTGGTCAATTGTACAAGCAAATGTTTCGCATATTTTCACTTGTAAATACAGAAGCATGAATTTGTTCCCTCTGCAATTCAAGTACCTTAATTTCCTGAGTCGACAGAAATTATTAAGTAATCATAAGCCATCATATGTCAATGGTCCTAACCAATGTCTAGATAACAAATTCAAATTTTATAGTATAGAAGTAATATCATTTTGGTTGTATGTCATACAAAGATTAACAGGGGTTAGTTAGGTTATATCTGCCGGTATATATTTATTGGAGAATGATTTACCCATATGGAGGAATTATTGACCTCAATGTTTTTCATGCAGCACCAACTGGGAAACCAGTATGGTGTACATAATATGTATATTATGTACATTTTCTTTGCATGTTAGTTGTTGTTTTAAATGGTACTGGTTATATTCGCAGAAATCTAGTGGACTCAAACTTCTTGTGAAGACATTTAAGTTGTAGACAAGCAAGAAGCTATGTGTTATAAATGTTACAATGAATGATACACACTGATGTGACGATTTGCAATACACGTAAACATTTAGCAGGGACACAAGTTTTTTGCTTACACAGTTGCACTTGGGTCAAATAATTCTTTCTCTGATCCCCATTTACATTTTGTCTTTTCATACTGAGGGGAAGAAGGTTATTTGTATTCTTAATTACATGTTTCTCAATTTTTAAAATACATGAAAATATCCAAAGCCTAAGAAAGATAAAAACATGAATTTGCTTTTACTAAGGGGTTATTGTTTCTTTTGAATAAAAAGTGAAGTAACCTACCTAGCTGTTAAATTACTGAAACCGGTTACAGAAGTAGTCAAAAACTTTTTACAGCATATACGACCTATAAATTTCTACTGAAATATTTTGCTTTTAAGCACTTACAAGTTTTGTGGGATTGAATAAAATTCTATCACTCGTTTGGACATTTCTTGCATGATGTTTCATACTTCCTCCTTGGCTTCTAGTTTCAACTCTTTAGTTTCTAATAATATATTGCGTTTAATAAAGCTTTTGTAGATGAGGTCTGAATTATTCATTTTAATCCTAGTTCATTCCAATCGATCATTGATTTTCAAAACTGTCTCAAGTTTAAATCTCATGAGGTGCATGGTATGTCACAACATGTTGGCACATACTTCACATGTCTGTGTGCATAAGCTAAAGTTCTATGCTTTCCAAATTTTCAAGTATTAAGCTTCATGGCAGAAGCTTTCCCCGGCTCATGACCTACTAATGTCTTGGTTAACTATTAAAACTTAAGGTAGTGACAGGATTTTCATAATAAATAAACAGTAATTCTTCTAAGAACTTGAGACTAGAACACTGTTTTATTATTAACTGACTGAATATTCCTCTGCCCCCTACCTCTTACCTCTGATTTAACTCCCTAACCAACTTAATTTTAGAACTGGAATTAATATTTTGTTTCATTTCTGTGTTACCAGGAGATGTCCATGGTCAATATTCTGATCTTCTGCGACTTTTTGAGTATGGTGGATTGCCTCCTCGTTCTAATTACTTATTTTTGGGGGACTATGTTGATCGTGGGAAGCAAAGTTTGGAGACTATATGTCTCCTTCTGGCTTATAAAATAAAATATCCTAATAACTTTTTCCTTCTGAGGGGCAACCATGAATGTGCTTCTATAAACCGCATCTATGGATTTTATGATGAATGTAAACGAAGATTCAATGTGAGGCTTTGGAAAGTGTTCACAGAATGTTTCAACTGCTTGCCAGTGGCAGCTCTAATTGATGAAAAGATAATCTGCATGCACGGTGGACTCTCTCCTGACTTACACAATTTAAATCAGATAAAGAGTCTTCCGCGTCCTATTGAAGTACCTGAAACTGGTCTACTATGTGACCTCCTTTGGTCTGATCCAAGTAGTGAAATTCGGGGTTGGGGAGAAAATGAACGTGGAGTTTCCTATACTTTTGGTGTTGACAGGGTAACAGAATTCCTTCAGAAGCATGATCTTGATTTGATATGCAGGGCCCATCAGGTTTCCTATTCCTTTCAAATGTTTGATTATAATGCTAGGTATCCAAATGTACAACATGCTGATTATACATATTCCGTGTTACAGGTTGTGGAAGACGGATATGAATTCTTTGCTAACAGACAACTTGTAACGATCTTCTCGGCACCTAATTACTGTGGAGAGTTTGACAATGCTGGTGCTATGATGACTGTTGATGAGTCTCTCGTTTGCTCTTTTCAAATACTGAAGCCTGTAGAGAAAAAGCCTAGTAAGTTTGGCTTTGGGAGCACAACTACAGTTAAGCAAAGTACAACGGCAAAAGTCAAGGTATTTTAATTCATTTAATCCATTCCATAGATTGCAACTATTCAACAAAAATATGTTAATGCATCATAATCTCATCTACTTTAAATGCGACTGTGGTTCAAGCTTTTAACAATGTAGAGCCAGTTCCTTGGAAGATTAGGAATAGATAGATCAAATGTATAGAAGTTAAAAAAATATAATTTTTTTGGTAAGCCAGCCATATTTATAGAGAAAGCAAGTTTTGTACAGATTTGTTAGCCAGCCTTTCTGACTTTTGTTGGTGGGACTCAATCCTGCAAATTGTCTCTACTGAGTTAAAAAGATAGAAATGACCTCCTTATAGTCCAGCTAGTATGACCTTTAAAAAAAATTTGAAACTTATGAAAATTCTTTTATTTTATTATATTTTCTGAGATGTTTACAATCTTTCTTTTGTTTCCCGTTCTTCCAGCAATCATTTTTTGGTGCTAAAGCATGACCTGATGAAAGTGCCTAAAATTAGTAAATGTTTGGTACATAGCCAAAGTTGACTTGGAAGAAGTGTTATCCGTGTTCACTTTAATGTGAAGAAGAATGCAAGTATGATGAATATAACCCAAGAGGCATGAAGAATACTGGATATTATCTTTGTTGTACCCTTTAGGGATAGCTGAATGCTTCTTTATTTGCTGGCACAGCACACAGTTGCCCTCTGTACAATATTGTCAATTTTTCTTCTCCAGCCCTCTCCCACATCCTCTTTGTCGATCTCCCTTTGTGTGATAGTGAATTAACGCAGAATACCTTTGAATGCCATTTCCAAGTTATCTCACCATTGTGAATAATGGAGCTTGGTTGGTTAGAATGTAACTACTATATTCCTTGCATATGAGATGAAATGAAGAAATAAGATTGGCTAAATGACATGCATATTCAGTATCTGTGGATCATGTAGATGATGAATTGTAGAGAACATTATTAGGTTGTACTTGTGATAAGTTGTTTCCCAAGGTTGTTGTTAATTGCTGCTCCATCGTGTATATATTGGAGCTTGTCGTAAATCACACGATACACATAAACATATTCATAACAAAGCTTCCTTTGCTGTGAATTCAAATACAGCATATCCCAAAACTTGTGTTATATTAAGAAGTAATCACAATATGCTATTCTCTTCAGACTTTATATATAAATATATATATATATATATATATATATATATATATATATATATATATATATATATATATATATATATATATATATATATATATATATTAAAAATTTTATGAGATGTTTTATAATTTCTTGCAATTTTTAAATTTGTCTTCCTTATTTACTCCTAGTAAATATTATAAGTATTTGTACTTTCTTTTAATAAATTAAGATTTTTTAAAGTCATTAATAATAAAAATTAATTTAATTTATTGATAAAAAAACAAAATTCCTGGATTAAAATTGGGCCCTCAGAGCTAATACCACACTCCTTCAAGCCTTTATCCCGGTGATCCAAAGGACTTGACCACTTGACCATCTCAATCACTTTATTAAAGGTTGATTGATAAATTCCAACCATAGAATTTGGTTTGATTACGTGAACTTCTTCAATGTTTGTGGGTTGGAATGTTGTGAATTTGTATTGTTTAGTTATCAGATTCAATTTTTTATCATTAATATTAATTACGCCTTTTAGTATTAATCCTATGCTATTGACAAAAAAATGGGAATTTAGTTTAATCTAGATAACATTCTTTTGATAAATATATGATTTTTTTCTCTTTTTTTTTATATCCATTTATTAATTATATAAAATAATTTTTCTTGCATAGGATAATAATACTAGTTTTTAAGTAATTTTGTATGACATAATAGTTAAGATAATATAAGATTTTTTTTACTGATTTTTTTAGAGGTAGTAAGTATATTTTTACTTTTATTTTCATGGTGTATTATCTGATTTTTTATTAAAAAAAAGTTATGTAATAAATAAATAAAAAAACCTGCCACAACAATGCATTATTTTGTCATTAAAATCTGCCGAATGTTATTGAGGGTAAAAATGGGACTATGAAAACAAAATTATTTAAAACTTATAAATTTCTTATCGAATATTGAACCCAATACTCAAAAACTCAGTTTTAAAAGAGATTAGCATGTTGTATTACCATTCTCTTACCATATGAACAACAAAAATAAAATTTGTTTGTATAAATATTTAATTCCAATCAACTAACGTAAAACTTAAGTTAGAGAACTTTTTGTTTGAATTTACGTCAAATTAAATATTTTTTAACACGAAATTAAAATAAAATACTAAAAATATGGAGATAAAAGATAAGTAATAAAAAATAGAGATAAAACAAAATTAAACTCTCATTTAAAAAAATGGTTGCATAATTTATTATGAAAACATGAGAAGAAAAATTCACGTCAAAAAATTTATATATTAATATTTATTTATTTTTATTATAAAAAACATCACATTTATTTTATAAATCAATCCAAATCTATTTTTTAGGAGAAAGAATATTATTATCCTTTTTTTCTTTAAATTTAAAAATTAAAAATTATATTAAATTAATCTAGATAAATTTTCGTTTTATCAAGAATTTATCAAATCAAATCTTATTTCTTTATGCAAATAAATTAGATCGATTCATTATAATTTTAATCAGGGACAAATTATAATCAATTTCGTTGTAGCATTAAATTCAATTAGGTGCTCTTTTTAATACTGTATGATTAAAGATATTTTTTAATGTTAATCAAATATCAATTAAATAAATACAAAATATCAAATTAATACAAATATTAAGCATAACAAATATAATTGAAGTAACCCTTTTGATTATTTCAAAATAAAGATTTTACAAGAGAATAATCCATGAAATTAAAAAAAAAAAATCTAGTCACTCGTGTTCTTGCTAGAAAATAATTTATGATGAGTTCATTCGAGATGAATATTTAGAGAAATGTTTCTAGTCATCTCTTCGAGAATTTAAGATTTTTTTCACTACCAAAAGTCTTGTAAAACCTCTTCTTTATGTTTTAATTTATTATAATCATAACGGTCATAAATAAAAGATAGGACTTCACTTCTCATCTTCGTAGTTCTTCTTTCAAGCAACCAACCTACTCAGTTTAGTAAAGTTGACATGATTTCGCTTAAGTGAAAAAAAAACACAGTTTCACTAAAGTATTTATTCATTTATCCTCACCAAATTATGTTTGGTTAAGGGTAAATATTATTTTATATTATAAATCAAATAAATTTTCTTGTTCAAATTTTAAAAGATTTATCTCACATCTTAACAAATCATCAAAATTACTCTATTTATTAACACAAATAAAATAAAATAAATTAGAAAAATATATAAATAAAATCTCTTCTAAAAGTTAAAATTCCAAAGCTTAGAATATATATTTAATAATAGTGATTAAAAACAGATCATCAATTTTCCTCTAATCATTTAAAATCATCCTACTTTGATTTTACTTCTGAATTAGTCCTAAGTAATAATAATGGTGTTAAATTCAAAAATCATAAGCTGACTATTAATTGATACATTACTTTAAACATAAATTAATATATTACAGGAATTAACTTCTTTAACTAGATTTTAACCTTTTAATTTTTAAATATCCAATCTTTTCATTAAGCATAACAATTTTATAAAGTTATTTAATGAGATAAAATTTAATACTGATTAAATTGAAAAAAATGTATAAATAGAAAATTTATTTATTTAAATTTTATTTATACAAAAGTTATTATTTTTCTTTTAAAAAAAACATATCCAAACTTATCTTACCGTTGATAACGTGTGTTGAAATCACTCGATAAATATATAATCATGTAATGAGAATTGAGGTAAATAAGGTAAGATTTGTATCATCATCCCTTATATATATATATATATATATATATATATATATATATATATATATATATATATATATATAAAATTTCAACTTAGAACTATGCTTAGATAATAAAAATAGACGACATGAGACTTTTAAAAAATCTCACATTACTTACTTCAATTATTCTAGTAAAGCTTATATATTTATTATATATTTTCCTTAATATTAATTGATATTAAGTTGAAATTAGATAAATATCAAAATCTTTATAGTTGAGTGAAAATGATAGGAAAGTCTGATGTCACCTATCTCAAATGTCTTGTTTAGTTAAGGATGTTGAAAAAAGTTTTATATTAATACTTAACTTAATTCCTATCTTAATTCTCCAATTATGATTCATATACCTGGTACTTCACTTAATTTTAAATAGTTTTAAGTTAAAATTTGATAATATTAAATAAATAATAAAACCTTATCAATTATTTATTTATTTATTACTATATACGTAGAATCCAGTAGAAGAGGTTAATCTCTTACACTAGAAGAAGTTAATCTCTTGCAACATATTGAATTATTGTTTGAATGTTTGTTAAGTGAAATATCATATTTAATAGCCAACGAAATTTCGAACAAATTAATTAATCTGTTAAGAAAGATACATGAATTTTTTTTATTAATTTCCATGAGTTTGTGCTTGCTATTTAAATTTTGCTAGCAGGTATGTATAATAATAAATTATTTTTGCTTGTATCAAACTTTATCAAAATTGAATAAGTACAAACATAATTAGATAGATATCATCTTTAGTATATTCTAAAAGTACATATTAGATTATTTTTTATTTTGATGTATGTATATGTACATATCCGAAGAGGCAATTGAAAGAGCTAAGAAAAGATGAGTATTAAATGAAGTAGATATCATTATCAAATAGTAATTGAGATGGGGTATAAAATAAGTAATAACGCGCTTACAACCCTAATACGAGACAAATTAATACTCAGAAAGTCATGCAGAGAAGGGCGAGGCCAAATAGAAAGGCTCCGAAACCTTGTCAATGTCATAGAATTTATCTGCATTCATCATCAGAGTGGACCCAACGTTGCCAATGTCCAAAGCGAAACCGCGTGAACAAGGCCCATTGATTGAAACAACATTGAATCTTAAAACGCTCATGTAGGAATGAAGACATTGGCCAAAGCCAAATTACATCAAATGGTGTCGATAATGATTCAATTTGGTTTATGGTCAGTTGACCTTTGACAATTGGCATTCCTCCATTCTTCCCTTTTTTTCTTTATTTTCTTTTCAAGCTTCCCTTGTAGTGAGGAGTTATTTCGGTTGCAAATATGTGAAGGGGAAGGCTTATACACGAGATGATGAAGATATTTATTTATTTTTTATCATAAGTTATTAGAATAGCATCTAACATATATTTGTTATATTATAGGTGAAAATTTTATCGTATTAACATGCAGATAAATTCAAGTAATGATATTTGGCGTTTAGTTTACACACCGTGTTTTAATAATCATGTGTGTAATTTGTTTTAGCACTTAAAATCATGAGATTTTCTTTAATGACGATACTCCACAAATATGGATAATATTTTCATTGAAGGATATGATCTTGTTC